ACTTTTAAGCCTATCAATTTAATTTTTTTCAACAGGAAGAAATTGTCCCAGGTTCAGGAGTTTATGTCTCTAGAAATGTGTGGCGCTCTGCTTGCCAGGCATCCAGTGGGACTTCAATGGCAAGGATTTTGCTGCTTGGGGTGTTTGACATTGAAACACTCATCAAAAGTAATTTGAGAGGTTAGTATTGTCTGTACAGTAGTGTAGAGTGTGTTTAAAGATGCTTATTCTATGGTCACATTTGTTATGTTAAAGCAACACTAAGAATTTTTACCTTAAAGGGTTAGTTCACCCAAAAATGAAAATTCTGTCAGTATTTACTCACCCTCATGTTGTTCCAAACCTCTATGTGAACACTAGGGGTGTAACGGTACACAAAAATCACGGTTCGGTACATTTTCGATACAGCAAAAGAAAGAAATGCCAGAGAAATGTCCTATTTGTTTAAAGAAAAAATATTTTTAAATAAGTGTGAGTTTTCCTAGATCTTGAAACTTTCAGGTTTATAAATGGGGCTCATCTTTGAAGGATGAACAAATAATGTTTTGGTCATCACATTAAAAATAACAGTTAAATATATATTTATTTAGATAATATTTGAGTTTTGAAGTGCTGGAAAAAGATGTGTGAAGTACTTGAAAGCATTTCACCATTACAGCCAAACTGGTCCCAGTTAGTGTTACTATATTAAATCCATGGTGAATGTTGCTGGTCTGTGGAGGTAAAGTATTACTAGTTTATTCACGGCACAATGTTTCTCCTGGTTTCCACGACAGCGCTGTTTGATCTAATAGAGATCTATGGTTAATAACGGAGAAATGTGAATGCTTCTCACTAGATCTCATCACTAGAGCGATGTTATTACCTCAGTGGCGAATTCAAATGTTTTCTTTACCGGATCTCTTAGCGCGGTGTAGTGTTGCTTAACAGTGTTGCTTGATCGAGATCGGCTCGCGCTGCACAGATGTTGCTGGTCCGAACTGATAAACGATCCGTGAAGCACATAATCCGTGAAGCACATAATGAGTAGCGCAGTTTGTTGCGCAACGATGTGTTGGCCGCGTCAGCGCGAATGTTGCCGGCAGGAAAAATGGTCCAAGCAATCGTTCGATTTGTATGCGTACCGAACCGAAATGGTTCAATACGAATACATGTACCGTTACACCCCTACTGAACACAAAGGAAGATATTTAGAAGAATGTTTTGATCAAACAGATCTCATTCCCCATTGACTACCATCCCCTCTAAAAAACCCCTCTGTTTTGAGTTGGGTGTTTGGTGGTGTTGTGCCGCTGCAGTTTTGAGGGCTTCATTGCAGAGTTTTTCACCACAAATTACACACAATGGATTTGACGCCACGGAATCGCCTGTTGTCCTGAATCTATACCTAATGTATGAGGTATTGTACTTACGAATGAAGCTTGAATTTTTCTTTTTCTTTCTTTTTATTTCAAGTTGGTCATCACCTTTCCTTTTACCGGAACAGTCTGCAATGAAATGAGCTTGCTGAGCCCGCTCATCTCTCCTCATTCTTCGGTCACTTCAGCTGCACGCACTGCGCTTTATCTTGCAGTCTGTTCAGATATGACACGTTGCTAAGCAATCGCAAGGCGCTCAAAGAAACCCATTTTAAAATTTGTATTTATTTTGATTTATTTATTTTTTTGGATTAAATAACGTAACATGTTAAAAAGCGTTTTAAAAAGACAATTATTATTATTATTATTATTATTATTTTAAAATAATAATAAATTCTGGGAACATTTCAAGGCCCGGTAATAACGGGTTCACCGACCGGCACCGGTCCGGGGACCGGGAGTTGGGAATCACTGCTCTAGTACTACACTGAAGTGTGCCTGACACTTGTGGTGTTTTCAGCGTCTATGAAGAGGACATGCACACATTTGAACTTCACTCACTATTTACTTTATAGCAGCCTGTGCCACTGGTGTGTGAATGTGAGGCATAGATTGTAAAGCGCTTTGAGTGCTCGTAGGAGTAGAAAGTAGTAGGAGGTAGGAGGAGCAATATAAATGCAGTCTATTTACCATTTAAGTGTTTAAATGGACCGACTGTGTGTATGTGTGTGCTTTCAACCATTTTAATTGTCATTCTGCTGATAATGAGAACGTAAACTATATACTGGTTATTTTTCATACTGAAAAACTTTTTGTCCTCAGGAGGGGAATCCAAGGTTTCAAAGGTGGGAGATGGGGAGAGAAGAAGCGGCCTGGATGAAATCAAAGTAAAAGCAATAATGGGTAAGTTGACTTTGTTATTTGACATCTGCCAATGGTCTGTATTTAAAGTGATGTGAGCCTAGTCAAATTATCTACTGGGCTGACAACATTTTAAAATTCTGTGCACTAGGGTTGTGCCGATAGACGATAGTATCGTGTATCGACGATAGTCTGACATATCGCCGATGGCAGATGCCTTTGACGATATCAATACGATAATTGGCTCGTTTTACCATAATGTATTAAATTATTATTATTAGGCCTATTATTATTATTATAAAGCTAGTATTGTTATTAAATGAATATTAGGAACTACAATTAATTTGCCTTGCCTAAATTTACAACGACATCACCTCATAACAATTGCAACAACACACGCACTAATGAGGACTCCTCTTAGAGAATGTTTTTAAAACAGACTAAAAAACATCCTACATCAAAATTCAATCGCAAGGTGATCCATTCACAAATTATCAAGTGTGCTCGTTTTAACAGACGCAAAATTAAATTTCCTACAGATCCAAGATGAAAACGGCATCGTTGTTCGTCAGTATTTGTTTCTGTAACACATTAACAAAACTTTTAATGACACTAACACTAAAAACAATACAATTACTAAATAGTATTAATAATAATATCACTAAAATAGTATTATAGTTACCGTTATCATCGTCGTCTCTGAGGGAACGCGGCGTTAATGCAGATGCCGAAAGCAGTCCGTTTTTACTTTCACTTTCAGAGATAGAGCGCGTTTACATGCGACGACGTTCTTAACCTGATTATGTTGAATAAACTTGACAATGCATGTGGTCATGTAAACGTTTCCTTTATCAGAGTCAAGTCATAAGTATAAGTATAAACCGATCGACTCAGCTGGACGTTTGGCCCTTGCTCTTGTTTCTATCGGCATTTAAAACACATTAACCCGCGTACTTCGTGCTTACTGAAGTGCGCATGTGAAGTGCGCAGAGAACGCACAGGGGGGCACATATCGCAAACTCCGACTCTTTCTGACCCAAGAAATTATTAAAACGTGTTTTCATCTCGTGCAGAAATAGACCAAAATGCTGCATGTAATGGCATGAGAATAGGCTAATGTGTCCGTAAATTTCCCGTTGACAAACAAAAGGATTAGGATCCCTTTTTTTTACTTCACTATACCAGGAAATAACCTGATCCTATTAATAAACACTCCACCTTTGCTAGCAAAATAGAAAAAAGATTCTCGTATATAAAACGAAGTAGGCTAATAAAACAAGCAAATTAATGAGTAGGCTAAATAATCAAGTTAATAATCAAATAAGTTAGCCCCGCCCCCTCACGATAATATCGTGTATCGCCGATCTCACAGGCTGACGATGAAATGAAAATGGAGCATATCGCCCAACACTACTGTGCACTGGGCTGTACATGACTGTACATAGTTAATTTTCTGTGTAGCAGGATGACAGCCATTTTACAACACTGATCGAAGTCAATTTTAAAAGTGGTTACCATTTGATGTTCCCAAAAAAAAGTTTCGATAAGAGGTGGTGGTGGTGTTCGGCACTATGACCCTATTTTGTCTGCAAATTAAATTGGTGGAAAACTGGCTGCCATGCTTACACTCTGATTGCATTGCAAGTGTGGCCTTGTTTGAATACTCGCGTACTTTGTCACTCAATTTTACTGACACTAGAAGAAACTGCAATAAAGAAAATACTGCAATATATCTTGGTGATAAGTTTATTTACCAGTGTTTTGTCTGCTTTATACCTAAATTTTTTTTTTCTTTAAAATCTACCTTCTCAGATGCAGTTATGTCAAAGCACTCCGTTTCAGCTGGCCAGATCGGAACAGCCCTGAATGGAAAGATGGCAGAGCTAAGACTGGCAATGTCCAGGAAAAATGTTAATTAAAAATGAGTGTGTTACCCCAGTGAGTGATTTTGGAAATAGTTTAAATGTGAAAGTAGAATAAAATAGAATTCTGAACTTTTAATACTGAGGGGTAAAAGTGCTTTTACTTTAAATGAACTTATGTACTTGAACTTGTACTTGAAAAAAAATCATTAAAGTTTGTATTTGAAAAGACTTGGAATTGAGTGTTCTGTGAAATGAGTACAAATATATGTGCAGTCTATATATATATATATATATATATATATATATATATATATATATATAAACATATTTATGCCAATAATATAAGTTAAAGTACATGGTATCATCATATTAGAAGCATATCTGTATCCCTAATATAAGTGAAAGTATGTACTATGGAAATATATATACATATATGCGTTTTACATATATGCGTTTTGTATATATTTTACATTTATGTGCATATATGGGAAAATATATGGCACTTACATGAAAACGGCCATTTTTGCTATATTTTGAAATATATGTTTCATATTTGTACATGTGTTTTATATATATGAATTTTGCATATATTCTCATATAGGCAGCAGACATACATGCGCACTGACATTATATATGTAATTTACATATATTTACATATATTACATTTCTGTATGGGATACCTCATACATTTATAAAGTAGGATACCCTAGCCTATCTAAAATGTGTAACAGTAATGAGAGAAGGAGTATTTGTTTGCATCAGAGCAGCACTCATGTCATACCCCATATTCTGGTCCTTTAAACCTCCAGCTGGTTGGCGAGACTCCTGCGGTGGCATTTAACTGAGTGGGTGACGTCATTAAACTTTCCAGCTCGTTGTGTGTGTGTGTGTGTTCGTGTGTGCACGCGCGCGCGCTCGCTCGTTTGTTTGTGGAAGATGAGAGAGAGTGTGTGTGTGTGTGTGTGTGTTGAAGACAGCGTGTGCGTGCACTGCTTGGGACGCGCAGAGGATTCCTGTGTTTCTGTGAGTGGATTGTACGTTTGCCTCGGTAAGTAATGCGTTTCGGGATCGTGGTTTGTGTTTGTACGGCGCTTCTCTTTAAAAAGAAACTTGAAGTCCTAGAAAGTGAGTGAGTCAGTCCTTGTAGAAAGAACATGTGTACTAAAACTTTCGTTTACATTCTGTTTGTCAGATGTAGTATCAGCCATGATGTAAACATTGGTTTGTTTAAAGCATCTTACAGGAATGTTATGGACGTCATTTGTAAGGATGAAATGCGTTCGAGCAGGTTCATTCTATAACATGGGTGCGCGAGTGCCAGGAGGCGGGATCTTTCTGCTCTTTCCTGTGATCTTGAAATTGACAAATAGATTTAATTGTGTAGTTGTTGTTTGTTGGTGGAACTAGATGTTGAATTGCCTAAAGCTTTGCACTGGTTTTTAATTTGCAGAAAAGGTGCATGTTAACGTGTATGACAGCTGTTTGGTGTTCATGTTTCAGATTGATGCTATAGACCTTATTCAGAGCAGCGCCATGACAGGTATGAAAGTGAGGCTGTGAGACTTACCGTGTTTCCAATGGCATCCGCTGTAAAAAGCTGAATAAAGCAGCTAGATTACTTAAAAATTTTCACAGCTTACATTGTCGGGAGTTTTTTGTCAACTGACATTTCTTTGAAAGATATTTTTCCAGTGTTTCATGAGGAGAACAATCCGAAAACGCATTAAATAACAGTACAGCCCAGTGAAGAGATGCAAGCTATCCTTCACAGCCTCGCTTTCATTCTTCTCATTAAAAATCAAAGATGGCGCTGCCGTGAATAAGGCGTATAGACCTTATTCAGAGCAGCGCCATGACGGGTATGAAAGTGAGGCTGTAAGGGATAGATTACCGTTTCCAATGGCATCCGCTGTACAAAGCTGAATAAAGCGGCTAGATTGTTTACAATTTTCCACAGCTTACATTGACGGGAGTTTTTTGTCAACTGACATTTCTTGGAAAGATATTTTTCCAGTGTTTCATGAGCAGAACAATCCGAAAACACATTAAATAACAGTTAAGCCCAGTGAAGAGATGCAAGTCTATCCCTCACAGCCTCGCTATCATTTTCATTAAAAATCAAAGATGGCGCTGCCGTGAATAAGGCGTATAGCTTAGTTAGTTTATTGATGCGAATCATGCGATAGATTCAAATTCGGTCGCTTTTAAGGTGAATATAAGTAAAGTAGAACAAGTTTTATATAGTTTTTAATTTCCCCCCTCTGTGTTATGTGAGGTACAAAGTCATTTAACAGAATAGACCGTTTTATATTTTATAACTTGTGACGGTATGTTTATTCGTCTGTCTGTCTTTTTGTATCTGTTTATGCTTATTTCTGAGCTGTTTCCATTTGTAGGCTATGTCTAGCTGTATTTTTCCCGTCGGATAGATGTTACACTACCCGTCTATTCTACTGTAGCTTATGTCAATCTGCATTTTTTAGATGTATTTTCCCTATCTCCCCTTTTTTCCGATTTTCTGTTTATTCCGTCTTTCTATCATCTTCAATGCATATTTTTATTGTAAATCATGTTGTTTTTATCATATTATTTTGTGTTTTCTATAGCTTGTTGAAGGGTATCCCCCACTTCACATTTTAGGCTAGTTAAAACTCCTATTTGGCCATGTGATGCCCCTGGGAGAGACTGGCAAGGTCTGTCCATGGATACCAGAGGGCATTTCCAAGCTGTAATCTGCATGACAATACCTTTTCCTAGTGTGAGCCAGTCAGATTTACTGGATTTACAGTCCCTTTTTGGGAAAGACAAACCGATCACTGAAAGTCCTTTTGCAAATATTCTGCCAGCAAGGAGATTTCAATTAATTCTCCACGCCATCCATTTTCTGACCATTCAGTCATTTGCACAGCATAAGGTGGCAGTGCATGACTTTCTGATATTTGCATTACGTCAGCTTGTTTAATGACAGGGTGCAAAATGACTTCAAGGCTTAAAAAACTGCTATAGTTGCTTTAAATTCCTCTAGTTTTGTGAAAATTAGTTGTGTATGGGTTAGTTGGAGAACTACGAGGATAGAAAATTAGACTTATTATAAAAACGCCAAACAAAAATTTAATGCATAACTTTTGATAGTACACAAAAATAGATTTTTAGTTAACCTTCAAATGGTCTTTGTTTCTTGTTTACCTTTCTGGGCTTCGGGGTCTATACAACTCCAACAATTGATTGAGTAATTGTACAAAAATATACATTTAATATATATTTTAATCATACAAATACTATATATATATATATATATATATATATATATATATACATATATTGTTTACTTCTCATCTATTCATTAATGCTGTGATGGAGATTTGGAGATATAAAGTACTTTCGTATCCATATACCACACAATTCGTGAAATACACCATCAGCTTGCATATTCAATTTTTATTATTATGATGCATTGCATTTATGCTCTAGTACTAGGCCTTCATTTCTGTGTGAAAATTTTCAGATTTATGCCAGATTTATTTATTTATTTAGTTAGTTATTTATTTTGACACATGAAGAAAGTATATTGAGGGTTTTTTTTTTCACATTTCCCATTCATTTCAATGTGGGGTCATATTGACCCTGAGGACCAGAGAAGTGTAAAAAAAAAAAAATTACATACCTTCAGAACAACTGAATCAAGCCTAGTTTTTGTGTGTGTGTGTGTGTGTGTGTGTATGGATAGATAATGTATGAAAAGTCACAAAATCGTATTCCACTGAGATGAAGGGAACCTTTTTTTTATTTAAAAGTAAAAGTTTTTATTAAGTAAAAGTTGTTTGGGGTCGTATAGATGACCCCATGACCCAATTGAGGGAACAGAAATTAAGAACTACAATGCTCAATTTCTATATATTACAGTCTTTACAAAATAAACCTTGTGTGCATAATATAGCACTTTTTACAATACAGATTGTTTCAAAGCAGCTTTACAGAGATTACAGGAAAATAAAACAAAAATGTTTGTTTCCAGAAAAAAATAAGGGGGTGGTTCAATCCCCGAATCCACCTGACCAAGTGTCGAGGTGTCCATGAGCAAGACACCTAACCCCAGCTGCTCCCGACAAGCTGGATGGTACCTTTCATGGTCTGTGTATTAATGAATGGTTGAATGAATGTGAGGCAAAACTGTAAAGATCTTTGGTGGCCATTGGGTCTAAATTCCTTGATATTTCACTTTTGTTTAAAAAAAAGTTATTCATTTAGCAGCCGCTCTAGAGTAATCTGTGATGTCATCGTCTGGCTTCAGATTGTAGCATATAGCAGGTTGTCAATGCAGGCAGATCAATATTATTGTTGAATATTAAATTAAATGTTAAATTTAATGTCCTCCTCTGGCCAATGAATGAACAGTGTATGAGTATGATTCAGGCAGCTTTACTGGTCAGAAGTCAGATTGGTTTGGAACAATCAGAATAATATCCAGTTCATCTGGTTGAAGATCGACATCTGGTCGTCACACCGGAGACGGGTTTGTTGAGGATCCGTGTTGATGGCTATTGCGTCATTGAGGGCTTCACAGGGGAGAGGCTAGTCGTCACATGATTAGTGTCGCACGTCACATGTTTATGATTAGTATCGCTGGATTGAGTTATCTGAGGTAACTGCGCGTTCTCGAGTTGGTTTAAAAGGCTCCATGTATCAATAGCAGAAACCGTGATCAGCAACGCTGCTATTGGCTGTTCAGCATGGCCAAAGAACATGCCCAGTTTTTCTCCCAAGCAGAGCAAGCTCTTTTAATGGAAGGTTATGCTGAATTTCAGTCTTTAATTAAAATGGCAGGAACACCTCAAAGTGTGCAAAAGCCAGGAGAGAGTGCTGGCAAAAGTAGATGTTAGATGTTTTAATAACTTATTATTAGGGCCCAAGCACTAACTGTGCGAGGCCCTATTGAAACTGTTGGGATTCATTTTTCTTTTTTCTTTTTTCTTCAAAGTAAGCGCCATTTTCGAGGTCGCAGCATGCTCAAAAACTGCTCAAAAACATGCTAAAAAAAAAAGCTGCAAGCAGCGATGGGCGGGCCCTCGCACCCAGGGGCGTAATTTGCGGGTGGGACGGGTGGGACATGTCCCCACCACTTTTTGCCAGGGTCGATATTGTCCCCACCACTTTTTAAAAGCTCCCGCGCAGGGCCGGCTTTGCCGACAGGCGACACAGGCGGCCGCCTGGGGCGCCATCTGCTGGACGGGGTGCAAATTGCAGAATTGAAAAAAAAAAGTTAATTAAATGTCGTATTATGAAAGCTGCGCACACGCTGTACACTTTTACTGTGCATTGTCCACACACTGCTTGTATTTGTCCATTTCTTTTACAAGATTATACAATCCTAAAAAACGACTGATGACTCCGACAGGCAGCTGTCAAACTCACGCGCGTTGCTCAGCAACCGGGAGTGGCGCGAAAACATCTGACAGCTGGTTTTAGCGCTTTAGTTTCCTCGGTGTGATGCGCATGGTTCCGTGCCTTCGGCTCAAAATAGTTATCGTCGGCTTTATTTCGCCCGATTCGATATGTTGACAAGGGGATGCCCGCGTATATTCAAAATGGTTGGCACGCGCTGCTTTGTTTACGTTATGTGTATCTGCAGCCGACCGACAGCGTCGGTTTTCCTTTTTGAATGACGAATATAGACTAATATATCTGCAGAAATAGACAGTTGGCTCATTGCAAGCAGGCGCAGAATGCACATTATAGCTGACAGTCGCCTGTAGTTCTCTCGGTGTGTTCAAGTCATGGTTCAAGTGCAGCTTTTTACCCCGACGAGAGAGGACGAGAGGCGACAACGACAAAATCTCGCCTTGGGCACCAAATAACCTAGAGCCGGCCCTGCTCCCGCGGCACGGATAGCTAACAGTAGAAATATATAAAACATCTCCAACTGACAAACCATTAATTTAGTTTGTTTGTAAAATAAAAGAAGCGATCTATCCCTAAAATAGCCTACGTTGTTTTTTAAATCAAGTGATCAAAGTGCTCTTTGCCGCCTGCAATCGGTAGCGCGGTTAC